GGAAACAAATTCTAATTCGGCAGCTGATGAATGCATGCTGAGGCCAGAGCGATTGAAGTCGCGGGGGTGGCGGCAGGAGAGAGGAGCTAGATGGAGAGAGGGAGCCACTGTCAGAAATTCAAATGCTTCTGGAGGTGGCGGTGTTATCATTCTTTCTCTTTTCCCTGGAAAAAGAGGTACAGAAAGGAGAAAGTAATGCTTAATTTATTGACCTTGATGAATGCCCAAACAAACGAAGCGAAAAGAATACAGGCCTGATGTTTCAGATTCAGAAAATAGAATTGAACTGTAACTGAACTGTGTAACTGAATTGGAATTCCAAGAAATTCAACATAAGCAATGTATTCTGAAAAATGAAGTGTTCTTCCACACTGGCCCACAAAAGTTAATGTATTAAATTAAATACAAATTTATACAGGTGGCATTTCATACCTCATTCAAATGCATGTGTCTTCGAAGCTTTCCAGAAACCAAAAAACAAAATTTGGTAACACGTTATTTTACAGTGTCCTTGTTACATGTTACATATATTTACTATAGTAATAGCATTAAATTATGCATACTTACAAGCATCTAACCCTAAACCAAACCCTAATCCTAACCATAACTCTATAGTAAGTACATGTTGTTAACTATTATTACTCAGTACTTAACTGTACAATTACACTGTAATAAGGACACCTTAAAAAAAAGTGTAACCTTTAATTCTACTTTCTTACATTCAAACTTGAAGTGCAATTCTGCATCATGTTTGCTACCTCAATTAATAATTATCAATAATCAATTAATAATCTATTTAAATTCAAGAACTGAATTAAAACATAAGAGACATTCTTAATTCAGTTGTGAATGGTGCAGAACCCTGATTACTACACTGGATCATTACTTCGAAAATTAGAAATAAGTTAATAGTTAGAAATTAAATTAAAATTTTATTATCTTCTCCGTGGACCACTGGTTGAAAACCCTGAGTATAAGGGGTCCCAAAATTACAGTTTGGACCATAACAGTGTGTCTTATTTCTTTGTCTTATCTGAATCACTTGCATATTAGAGTCTTTGAAAGGTCTCGTTTGATAGCGAGTAATTTACAAGGATTTCATCAAGCTGGATGAGAATATTGAGGTGACATCGCTCATGCATTTTCCATTGGGGCACTGTCTAATGATTACAGTAAAGCTGCACGCTTGAGCCTCGCTTCTGCGACCACAAGGATAAAGCCGTGTGGAATAATTTAATTGGTGTCCGTTTTCCTCTCATCAAATAAGTGCCATTCAACAGTGAAAAGCCACTGTGCACCTCCAACACCTTTTGTGTCCAATCAGGTGGTACTGATTGCGCATTCTCTTTTAACTTATGAATCAGAGCCGCCATGAATTTTAATTTCACGCTGCCTCTTCAGCCTGCTAAAATATACATGCTATTTTGTCAGCCTTTATGTCGAAGGGAGTTTGATTTCCTCTATAATACTCTACAAATATTACACAGCCACTGACCATTGACTGAAAACCGGACTGAGCGATAAACTCAGTTGAACCGTGGTACATTTTCTTCACCCTACAGAACATAAATGGGAAGACCGGTCTGCATGTCTCCGGATTCTCAGGTCTTTCTCTTGCAGCCTGCATTTAGAGAACATGCACCTCTGAATTCATTACAAGCCAAGCACGCTTAATTTGCCGACTCCCTTGAGAGCCATTAGCGTCTGCGGCATCAAACTGGCAGACCGGTGAAAGACAAGTGGCAGGTAGGGCTTCATCCGTCTTAACGCCCCTCCCCTTTTCCTGTTGGGCTGAGAAACAGAGCTCTCTGAGAGTCTACTGTACGGAGGGACGTTAGGTGCTTGTGGCACAGTTCCCTACTTTTAGCAGCAGTGGGTCTTTATCATGTCTGTGGAAGTTCACCACTAGTGGTCGA